CTAAAACTGATTTCTTTATTCTTTCCCCCCAACCCTGTCCCAGTCTGGCACAACTCCTATCATAAGTTGCACAAGTGAGAAATGTGGGAGTCATCCTTTACGTTGCCTTTTCAAAGACTGTATCATTTCTGTAATTCATAACATTACCCTTTCTTTTATGTCCTTCTCCCACAGCCAAACACTAATCCCACCAATTCCATTTCCTCAATATTTCTTTATCTGCACACTTATCCCAAATGCCTATGACCATTATTTGTACTGTTTAAACCACTGCTACATCTTGCTTTGACTGTATCTTCCTAACTTGATGATTCACAAACTTCTCTGTCATGGTACATGTAAAAAACAGAAAGTTAAGATGCTCTGAGACGAAAAGGAAAGGATTTAGATACATTTATTTGGGAGCTAATATATACATATATATATATATATATATATAGAACATAATAGTTTTGAAAAAATTCAGTGCTAGAGGCAGTACTAAACACTAAATTTTTATCCATTTTCTTTTTAATTTTTAAGAAGGCTCCTTTTGTAAAACATATATTTATATAAAGTATATAATAACTGAAAGGGAAATTCAGGGTTAGAGGTGATACTAAACACTAAATTTGTATTAGTTTTCAGTTTTTAATAAAGCTCCTTTTGTAATGTTTTAAAGTTTAATAAATGCAATGCCCACAGTTATCAACATTAAAGATTATCTCTTCAAATTTTTAATAGTCATCATCAGAGAAACTTTCTTCACACAAAGAAATGAAAGAAGTCCTTAAACATTTCTCCAACCACTCTAAAATATACAAATAAAACCACAAAGACTAACAAATCTTAGCTGCAGATGTCAGCTATATGTAGTGTCTGAGAGCATCTTCTAGTTGTAACTGCAAAGTCTCTACTCCACTTTCACATGGCCTCTCTTGACAGCCGCATTGTCTTCCCAGCAGCTCTTTAGGCAGCAAAGGACCAGAGATAAAGGATCTTTGATATTAATAATCAAATACCAAAGAAATGCATTGATTTGGGGAGTTGTGTCTCCAGCACTGTCACTGAATGGCTAAGGAGTTGGCTATCCTATCCATATTGCAGTTTTGAATACATACAGCAGAAAACTATTTCTGAATTTCCAACAATTATTTGATTGGATTGACCTATTCTGGTTGTGGGGCAGGCAGTAGAGAGTACTTTTCTAGGTATAAAGTTCAACCTGTGTTAACAAAGATTCATTGATTGCATATGCTGCTTTGCCTCTCCTTTGGGTTTTTGTTTTTTTTTTTTTTTTTCAAACTTTCCTTCTAGTTAATAGCTCTTCTAAGAGTCCTTGCTTCCATGAATCCCAGACTTAAGTTAGAGATATTTGCAACCTCAAATCTCCTATCCTCCATTCCTCAGTCAGGGGAATAACTGTCAAGGGCTTTTGAAAAAAAGCAAGTTCCCTGCTCTTCTGAGATAACTACCAAAAGATGTTTCTCTCTGTTGTAGGATAGTGTGATGTGTAATGTGAAAAGTAAAAATGCATAAAATATACAAATATGGCATATCTGTGATGACAAAACCTTGAGTGGCATTAAGAAAGTCTGAAAAATCTCCTCAGAGGGGTAACAATGTGGGGGGGGGGGAGAGGGAGGTTGAGAAACATCATTCTAGAATAGCAAATAATAAACAAAAGGAAAAATAAATGAAACTATATTGATGTTATGTTAGTTTAATTAAATGAAACTGGAAGCCTATCCTAGCTCTTGACATTCTAAAGTAAGCCAATAACTCTTACTGCTTAAATTTTATTTTGAGCTCCCTGTTACTTGTAACAATGGTTATATTAACTCATAAAAAATATGGAAACCTTTATCTGAAGCATCATACATGTCAATACAACATTGAAGTCAAATTCTTGTCTGTTTCTGCTAACTCTGCATGGAAATAGATGCCAGATACACTCACATCCAAACTAAGCTAGATAAGGTGAAAATCCCACGTAGAACATATAGAGGTAGTAGGAAATGGATTTTTAAACCCTGATCCTAATCTCCTGGGATTAGTGTAAAAGTGAAATTTACTCCAGGAGACTACTTAAAGACTTGATACCTATCTAGGAATTTGTGAAGATTGGAAGTCGATAAGATTACTATTGAAGTTATTAAACTGAAATTTCCATGCTAAACTCATGCAAGTTAAAGAGAATGTTAAGTTAAAATTGAGAAAATGCATTCAGCTTCCTTCCCCCATTTCTCCTGGTTCAAACTCTATTACCTCAGATTTTTTGATTGCAAGTGACAACAATATAATTTGAATCAGTTTAAACGAAAAATGAGAGAAAGTTCCAGCTCATATAATCAAATCACAGAATGGGAAACATGGATTGGCAATGGGGCAATCTTAAGGCATGAACACCACTGGGACTTTGTCAGGACCTAGTGAAAAGGTGCAGACAAAAAAAAAAAACAACAACAAAAAACACTAGTGGTCTGTAAGCAAACAAGAGAACTGATCTTAAGTAGTTCCATGGCTATAAGTCCAAATCAGTGAATAAAACACAGAAGCAGATGAATTGGGGTAGATGTTCAAAAATCATGTAGGAAATTCACTTTGAAATACATCCATCAGCCCTCCCTGGTGGTGCAGCGGGTAAAAGCACAGTACTGAGAGGCTAGGGCCACTTCCCCATGAGTTCAATTCCCGCCTGCCCCGGAGGTGACCACAAGGCGCGGCAGATCTCTCCTGGCCCGCCCACTGCTCCCCTCAGCAGTATACGTCGTCGTCGATCTGCCTGTTCTGTTCCCAGCTCTGCCTCTGGTGAAGCCTCTCACCACCTCTGAGCCTCTGGCCTGTACCCCAGTTCTGTATGAATAAATAAATCTTAAAAAAAAAAATACATCCATCAAAAAAGATAGATGTATGCATATATGGGGTGGAGACAGGTATATGATATAGAAAGTACACTGTGAATGGTAGACTCTTGATGGGAGGTATACAAGTGTTTACTGTAATTTTTTTTAACATTTCTATGATATTTTTCCTAACAAAATTTCAAGGAGAAAAATTAAGCAGGATAATGTGATTAGTCCTTGTCAACAGGATTCTAGTCATAAACTTGAAGGTACAGAAAATGGATCTTTCTCTCAAGGGCAAGAGAGGACTGGTGAAAGTTGTTCATTCATCCAGAAGATGTAATATTTCTTGAGTACCAAGCTGGTAACATCCACCTTATTAGGACAGAGTTGTTAAAAAGAAATCAGATTTGAGCATGCAGTGTTTAACAGCAGAAGTTAAAATGTGACCAACTTATTTTGGGAATTCAAGTAAAGGTACTTTCCCACTTACTTAATCTGCTTGTTTGGTTATCAGTACATTAAGCATCATTTTACAGGTGCAAATAGTCTTAAGTCTTCACTTGGACATATGAGTGGTTGATGCAATCATAATGGAGTAGGATATACACAAGGAAGAATGTATTTGTGGTAATAACTTTCAAAGCTGCTTTTGGAAATTTGAAGTATAAACGTTTATATTATATCTAGACAGGAGTCCAACAGGTTCAAATGCAGGGAAAATTTGAATATTGGGAGAAAATAGGAGTTAGCATCATAAAACTAGTATATGTAGTCAAGACTGGATAAATACATAAAAAGAGTACAATAAAAAGTTATTCCTGGCCCTCCCTGGTGGCGCAGCTGGTTAAAGCACAGCACTGAGAAACTAAGGCCGCTTCCGCATGAGTTCGATTCCCAACTGCCCCTGAGGTGACCACATGGCGTGGCAGACCTCTCCTGCCCCGCCCGCTGCTCCCCTCAGCAATGTACTTAGTCGGTCTGCCTGTTCTGTTCCCCACTCTGTCTCTGGTGAAGCCTCTCACTGCCCCTGAGCCTCTGGCCTGTACCCCAGTTCTGTATGCACAAATAAATAAATCTTAAAAAAAAAAAAAGTTATTCCTTCATCCCTTCACCCATTCACTGACCTACCAAGTGTTAACAAAAATTACAAATTTATAAATGCTAGAATCCAGTTCATAACTTCTTGACTTCTAAATGCAATGACCTATGTAATCACAATGTGTTTTAATTTATCTCTGAAGTTATTTACTTATATATTCCTTAATAGGAAAGCTCCCCTCCAGTGAAAACTGGAACACCATTCCTCTGACTTTCTCTTTTAGACTGTTTCTTTAGGAACTTCTATTAAATTTAGAATTAGGCATTTGCAGAGTTCCATCCTTAGTCTTAAAACTTTCATCCCTAAATCCCATTATTCACGCCAGACTTCAGGGCAAATTAAGTGAAATTTAGCAGTAGTTTTATTAAAAATTGTGTTTACAGCAACAGCATAGGCAATACTGTATAGTACTTGAGGATCATAAATGTATTAATATTTCTATTTTCTCATGTTCTGAAAAGGGCAACAAAAGTAGCTTTCTAGACTATAGCTAGTTACTCACTATAAATGTAAATTAACTAGCATATACTCCATACTCGATATATGCTAACATGACGAACACGCCACAGTATGCCATATGATAAATACCTACCTTTCCTAACCTGTTAGGTAACATCAAAATAGTAACTTCTGTTCCTGAGTATTCAGACTACAAAGTGCTCCAGATTATTTTCTTTAGAGTCTCGCAGAGCGTCAGAGACTGGCTCAAATAACAGTAGCAATTCCTTCCTCCGGAATACCTCATTGACAGTAACATATTTTCCAAAGCTTCTTAAAGAAATAGTTTGGCTTAGTTTAGGGCTGAAACTGAATAATCAACTTCGTCACAATAACTCATTCCCACACTACTCCTTCCATGTGCAGGTCTCTCAAAGAAAGGGAATGCGGCCATGACACAGTTCACCAAGCAGAGGCGAAATCGTATTTTTCATCTTTCGCGCTAATCCTAAACAACCAACTACATTGTCACTCTCTCTTGCCCCGCGACACTTCCGTTCGCGCACTTTCAGTACGTCAGCGCATTAGGTCTCGCGATATTATGTGGTGCCTGAAAGCCTTCGACAAGGATCTCGCGAAGTTTGTCCTACAGGTCCAAGTTAGCCTCTCACCTTCCCCCGCCCCGCCCCAATCTGTCCTTCCTTTCCGTCTTAGCCTCAAAAACTGTCCCCTCCCCTCCCTTGAGTTTACGGCCCACCCCTTGTTTCCGATTTCAGGCCGGAACCGGAAGTATAGTGGGCCGGGCTCGGCGGAAAACGCAGCGGAGCAGCTGAGCCTGAGCCGGGACTCCGCTGTGGCGGCTGCTCCAGATCACTGATCGCGGTGGCTCCAGGCGGAAGGTCGGTGCGGAGGCTGGTGGGCGCGGATCTCCCCCGGAGCTTCCGGGTGGCCGCCTCTCCGAGCCCCCCGGGCTCCTCGAGGGATCATGTCTACAGCCTCCGCCGCCTCCTCCTCCTCCTCGTCTTCTGCGGGTGAGATGATCGAAGCCCCCACCCAGGTCCTCAACTTCGAAGAGATCGACTACAAGGAGATCGAGGTGGAAGAGGTGAGCGAAGTCGTGCTGGCCTTAGGCTATCCCGCCTCTGCCTGATCCCGACTCATAAGTCGTCTCTCTGGCCACTCTGACTCGCGGGGCCCACCTAGGAGTCCCCACAGTTCCACGGAGACCGGGTGTTGAGAGGACTTGTACGCATTCTGCTACTACGCGGTAGCTCTGTTTTCCTCTCATCTGCACTTTTGAGGTTGGTTTAATAGTCCGGTGCCCGGATTTGGGTCACCTCAAATAGGAGGATGAATTGATGAAACTGTTGGCCACCAGTTCTCAGTCTGTGAGTAGTGTGTTCATCAAAGACCTTGGGCGTTTTGGAGTTTGATTTCTCTAAGATGTGTCCTTAATGATCAAAGTGTGTATTTAAGTTCAACTTCTAGCCCCGTGCCGGCACTTAGTAGGTGATCAGTAAATACTTGCCAAATTAATACATAATCATGCCTGATAAAGGGTTTTCCTGAGTACTGACTCTCAGCTTGGCCGATTCCATAGAGCAGCACTTATTATATTAAATGTTATGTCTGCAGTTGGACTAATTTAGGGAGATTTTGCCATTTGTAATCTAGGCTTGTGTACAATGAAAGGGTGTCTTAAGTAGCATATTCGGGAAAAAATTAATGAAGTCGACAACAACTAGAATATAATTTTAGAGTAAGATAGTAAAGTGCTTTTAGTACATTGAGTCTTTTCAGAATTACAAAGGAGTTCGTTCTGCCATAAAGTGTAGAAAAATAAAAATAAAAGTGTACACATCTTTAGCAGCTCATTTTAAACGTTAAAACTGATTGAAACAGTATCTTACCGTTGTCATGTATTTTACTTATTAAACACTTTGCATTACATATGTCATAAAGAACCTTTAATTCTATTCTAGTCTCCGAGTTATCTCGACTTTAAAATCCAAAATTATTTTTATTTAGTGTCCAAGCAGAAGGTAGTGAGAAAATTATCATTCAACAAATAAGTGTTTTTCTTTGCATGTTTTGGAAATAGAAAGACTACTGAATTATATATATATATATAT